GATTTTTAAGTATTTAAACTTTTCCCCCCTTTATTCCTTTATAATCCTTTATAAACCAGAAAAATAATAATTGACTAAGAGGAATTTTCTTGTTCTGCTGCTCTGAAAATCTCTATTTAGCTGTAAATTAGTTACATTCAAAAGTAGTTAAAATGAGGCTCATGGAAACCTTATGTCCATATAGGTTATATTATGGCTATGAGCTTGATTGAAACCCCTCAACTTCCAACTGCAATCACTTCATGAGAACAGCTGCCCAGAGTGCAAGTGGGCGTGCATAAGCGTATCAACGTGCCTACCGTCCCTGTCCTATTGTTTCTTTTATTTTTCTTATATGTATCCTTGTATTCATAACTATGTTTGTACTTATACCTATTATCTTGTAAGCAATTGACAAATCAAATCAAATCAAATAAAAATAAATCTCTTCCTTTTCCAGAGAGATTTTACAGGTAAAAAGTTGATGTCTGGCTGCTGATCTCCATTGCAATGCTATCCCCACTTTTTCCAAGACATCTACTTTGCCATAAATCTTCACCAGAAGGTAAGATCCAAACAATCTCTCTCCCTCTCCCTCTCTCTCTCTCTCATCTATCTATCCTTCAATGGACTTTATTCAAAGTACTCTCCACCAAACAAAATCAACCCCCCTGATAAATACTAATAGCATCAAGAAAACCTGAATCAAAGGAGTAATTCACTGAAGTTATAAAAATATACGTGAATTCATCAAGATACCTAAAACACTTTTTAAAAACTTAAGGAGTTGGATTGGATTTGATTGAATTAGATTAAGGTCCTGATCCTGATCCTAAACTGTGTGCCTACATTGCATGTTATTTCCCTTGGTTCATATTTATGGCAGCACCCTAACTTGCCTCCTGCTATCAAAATAATAGTTTTGTGTTTGCTGCATTTGCACAATATGGTAAGCTATTAAAAAGCAAGCAGAATGCTGCTACACTCTGCTCTGAATACTACCCTGGCTCCTCCTTTCTAAATTTTGAAGAAGAAGGATAGGAATAGTTATTGATGCTTTTGGATTTTGGTGTTGGAGAAGATTCCTGACAATAATACTGATGGGCAAGAAAACAAATGAACCAACCAACCTGGACTTCTCACTGGAGGCACAAATAAGCAGACTCAAATTATCCTACTTTGGACACATTGTGCAAAGAGATAGTTCTCGGGAGAAGTCTCTAAAACTGATAAAGATAAGAAGAGAATGACCAGCAGCAGGGTCAATGGACTCAGTTACAATGGCAATGAGTGGACCATTAGAAGATCTGAAAGACCAGGATGGGAACAGATCATGGTAGAGAAAATCTATCTATAGTGGCACTAAAACCAAGCGATCCTCCTCTTAGTGATAAAGTAACTGATAAAGTCAGATAGCCTCAATCAAAAACTCTTGTTTTGTTTAGCAAAAACCAGAATGAGTAACTACAAGTATGTCAAAAGTGTCCTAGTGTTCTGTCCAAACATGGTTATCATGTCTTAAGCTACGATCAATTAAATGAAACCATGTCATTTCAATGGGTGGGCTACACAGGAGACAACCAAACAAAACCTGGAAACATAAACTGAGGATGCCTTGTATACTTCACTCTGTCTACATTCAGGTCATTGGCAGTTAGGATCATTGTTCTACCTCAAAAGGATGTTGCATCCCGGAGAGCAGCATAAAATTATGAAGCCATGATTGTAAGATTTAAACAGATGGGAAACAAACAGATAAATAACTCCTGCATCAAGACTCCCCTGTTTTACATCTGGAAGCTGAAATTATGACATACAGTAGGATTTCAATTTTGACTAGAAAAGATAAAAAAATAAAAAATGTTCCACGTTAGGCTTGAAAGAAGAGGAGGCTATGGGTGGGAAGGGCAGGTCCATCAAAGCTGCTCTGCTCTGACACTAGTACAATACTACTCACAGTTTGTCTATAGCTGGACCTCTCTTAAGCAGAGCTTTAGCTCTTCCTCCTCATGGTTTAGTCCTTTGCACCTATTGCAAGCCAAGGAGCCATTTAAAAAACAGAAGAAAATCAAGCCACACAGCAATAAAGAAAACAAGCTTGGATGTTGTGGCATGCAAGAGTCTTAGACACAAGGAAATGGGGGAAAAAGGCAGGTGTAGTGAATATACATATGCACCTCAATCATTCTTCTTCTAGCTGCTCCTATATTTTTATATACTTTTATGATGGTTCCTTCATTCCTGAGCTACATAAATATATCTGCTTAGGGGTGCCTGAGCCTGCACTCCAGCCTAACCAAACAACAACAAGAAAAATCTCCAAACTGAACATAGGTAAACCCTCCAGTTTTAGAGTTAGCAGCTTGCAGGTTGAAAACGGTGGAGAACACAAAAGGACAGTTCTCCCCATTGAGGCAATAAAAATACATGACTGTATTTGAAAGAGAAGAAAATTCAACGTGTGAGAGAACATGTTCATCCAGAAAGTTTTGATTTTGCTTGATGGTTTGCTGAAAAGAAGAGTCGGCTCCGTCTTGCGTTTTGTTCCTCAAGAAAAGGAGGCATCACAAGGTAACATAAGCTCGCTGCTTTCCTCCTAAACCATTCTGACACCTATAGTTTCTTCTCCCATTCAAATTGGTTCTGTTTCAACTTTCTGCCCTTGCAGGCAACTAAAGAAGGCAAGTGACAAGACAAAAGAGCATGGAACAAACTTACTGAGAGATGGGCTTGCAAGTTATTAAAGCAGCTGAAAAGCAGATACAGAAGGAATGGACAAACATCAGTAAACTTATGCAGACAATGAAATCCAACGAGTTGTTCCTGGAAAAATGAATGTAAGCTTAGCGTTGGAGTGTTGGAATGGAAAGATGAAAATGGCGGTAGTGAATTAGCACAGTTTATCTCGAGAGATTGATTAGTCATAATTAGCTCAGAAAAGCAATTTCAATTAAATGCCTTGGACTATGTCAACATGACATAATTGTTTATAAAGTTATGATTCTGCAGTTAGAGTCAGACGTTTTAAGCTGGTACTGTAGCTGACTTTCATGCAATAGAAATTAAGTCATCTGAAGTCACATGTAGAGCTGGTAACATGAAGATTCCTGGTTCAATTTAGCTGATTTTATTTCCAAATCAAACAGGGATGGGTCACAGAATTTTTCAGAGTCAAATATCTTCATTCAACAATTACAACTATTGAAAAATAAACTGAAAATATTCCATCAGTCTGACATCCTTAAAAGTTATCAAACGCTAATCACTTCAAACAACAATAAAAACAAAACCCCAGAACCAAACTCTTCACTTCCTTTTCATTTTCCTGATTGTCAAGGTGAGAAAATGAAGAAAGGAGAAACAAATAGAAAATATACGTGGGTAAAAATCATAAAGGCTGGAGAGAGAAGTCAAGGTATTATTAGCCCAACAAGTAGGCCAGATTAAGAAACCAATTTCATATAGGACAGGACTATTCTTATTGCCACAGTTATAGTATGAGAATCTTTCAAGTCTAAATGTGCTTCCCCCCCACCCACCTTATCTAAGATGATTTCTTAAGTTATTTTTCTTGTCTTGTACTGAAACCCTTCTTATTTGATTGCTACCATAGTAGCAATTCTTCCTCCTGTTCTTCAGTGCCAGGATTTGTCCAAGTGAGCAAACACATATAAGGACATTTAAAAGGAAATAAATATATGTAAAAGGAACATCCATCATTCATCTTTATAATGTATGTGAACCTTCTCTTCTCATCTGCTACCCTGTGACAAGTTTTTCAAGGTTCTTATACCGCAAAGGAAAAAATAAGATGAGGGAAAAAAATTTTTTTTTCTCATGGAGTTAAAAATTCTAAGCAAGTTCTTAAAAGCAGGACATTAAATATAAAGCTGTACTTAAACACACACACAACTTTAAATAGATTTACCTTACTATTTGCAGGTGTAAGAGATGACCAAACTGAGCCTGAGGGAGGGGTCAAGTGTGTTAAGAGTCTTGAGTCCCTTTGAGTCCGTAAGAGATCTAATTCCTGCATACCTTATTTACCACCAATTTGCTTTGTAGGTCAAATTTTTATAGTGTTAGGATGCAATAACAAAAAAACATTCATCTAAATCACCTTGATTCCTGATTTTCTGTGCTTAACAGTAGATTGTTAATATGACATTCAGAAACATGTCATACATGTAAAGTTTGAAGATATGAATGTTTTATTAAAATATATACCACCAATTTTGAATCTCTTAAAACAAAGATTTTAGATTCCTCATGTGTGATCTATTGCAAAAAAATATTTTACTTCAGTAGAAAAAGCCCTCTGTGCCTGATTTAAAACCCTGGATTGAAATTATGTGTTTACTTATTGTCTATATGAAAATGTCAGGGCGGCACTAAGTACTAAGAGACAGAATATTATGCTGTGAAATCACAACACACATTTTTTCACTTTGACGAAAGATTGACTTGCTAAAGGTAACCCTGTATATGAACTGGTTCTTGGTCAGTATAGCTTGATTCGATCAGCAATTAATTTTCTGTTTAGGATCTCAGATTTTTGTTTCATATACATCTATTTCAATACATATTATATTGGATGGTCTATTTTTTTCTGGACATTAAAAAAAAATCTTGCATTTGCTTAATGGAAGATTTTCTTCATTTTGGACATATATTAGAAACAGAGAAAAGAAATGTGTATTAAACTTAATATTAACACCTTAATATTGATTCTCCTTGAAATTCTTGAAAAGTAATTTCTTAGGCTTGTATGAGGCCAAATTTTCTAATGAGCAATACTGTGTACACACAAAATTATTTTTATGCTGGATATATTCTTATAATGTAGGGCAGAAAATATGCCAAATTAATCATGTGTTCTTTAATCAGAAAATATGATGTGATCCAATAACAAACCCTTTTGTTAAATAAGCAAAAGGAGGCCTCCAGAAAATAATGTGTCAACGTACATTAAAAAAAAAGACCAATGGCATAAAAAAAGAAAAAGAATATCAGAAACTTACTGAGTGTAAGCTTTCATTTTCCCGAAGACAAGCTGTTTGGAGTTCTGATTTCAGAGTTGCAATGTGATGCCGATGGGATGTTATTTCTCGTTCTAATGCAGAGACTCTTGAGCATGCAAACTGATAGACATCTATGAAACTTATAATCATCGCCTTGAAGGAAAAGCAAAAGGAATGATTATACTTCTGTATAAAAGAGGTGTCATCTTTGCTGAGTTATATGTTTTTGAAAAGGAACTTTGTGTACGTGTGTGTGTGTATAAACATATATACAAGCACTAAACCCAAATGCTGTCCCAAAGAGAAAAATTATTATTTTAGAATAGACCATATTGTATGCTTTTTTTGTATGCCAAAATTACAAATGGTATGTTGCGATTCAGTTGTTTAAATAAACACTGTGCTTTGATTTGTACATAAAGCTTTATTGGTTCTATTTAAACTCATCCCTTGGTTAATTTTATTCAGCCAAGCTGAGAATACCATCAGAGGTTAAGTATGAACATGCTGAAAATGAACGGAGTTGCTAATTCTCCCACCTCACATTTAAAAGGAATTGGATTTAATTTGGCATGGAACCTAAAGAAAGTAGCAGACCTTTGAAAATAAATAATCTGATTACAATATAGCTGGGAAAATAATTCTCTTCAGATATACAGAAGAAGAATGTCCCAGCAGTGTAATATTGATCCGACTGATAATAAAGTTAACAACACAATTGAGTATAAATGATCTGGCAGTGTTGGTAACTTGATATCTGACCCAAATAGTATAACAGTGCTGGGATTACTGAAGTTCTTTACAACTGGTTAATCACTTTTTTTTTTTAGCTTATAGCTTCCTTCTGAAGTGACCTGCACTGATTTCTCAAATGTAAGAACAGCATTAAAGCTGTTTTTTTTTTTTAAAAAAACCCGTCTTTACTGAATAAGTGGAAGATTGTTAGCCATATTTTCTCAAATAAAACAACTCAGGGGTTGAGAATGACCAGGCTGGAAAACATAAATAGTCCTCTTTAAGATATCAAGTTCATCCATAGGTGTTTTTGGAACTGTTTAAAGATTCAAAACTTAACTCATGTGGACTTAAAAAAAAAAGAATATTTCTGCAGACGTGTATTAGCAAATTGCACTGTTTATGCATTTCTGCCATTATTTGTGTCTCCAAATTGTTTTGTGCCCGATTACAGGTATGGCTCCATTTACGACCACAATTTCTGTTGCTGAGCAAAACATCTGTTAAGTGAACTAGGCCCAATTTTATGACCTTTCTTGCCACAGTTTGTTAAGTGAATCATTGTTAATTTGGACCCCTCAGTGACTTTACTTGTCAAAAGGTGGATCCTATGACCCCAGAACATTGCAACCGTCATGAAGATGAACCAGTTGTCAAGCATCCAAATTTTGATCAGATGACCATGGGGATGCTACAATGGTTGTAAGTGTGAAAAACGGCCATAAATCACTTTTTTCAGAGCCGTTGTAACTTTGGACGGTCACTAAACGAACTGTTGCTAAGTCGAGGACTACCTGTATAACCAAAATCCCAAATGTGCTATTCTTGTTAAAGCTGAAATGAAAGCAGCTTGCAGAGGCACATTTAATACATTCTGCCATTGCTGCTAAATGGAAATCAAACAAAGAGTTTTCACACAAGATAGCAATGAATATGCGTTTCAAAGGCATCATTTGTGCATGAGGTCAATGCATGTGGCAAAGAGCTGTAAAGTAAGTGGACTAATGTATAGTCAACAATACAGCAAGGTTTTTTTCCACCAATTTAAATGAAATGCTCATAGATAACATCTAACACAAGGACGATACATAATTTAAAATACTTTATCTCAAGGTTTAAGTATATTCATGAATCATGTAAAAATAAATAAGCATTTGCTATGTTTCTTTTTTTTCTTTCTCTATGAGATGAATCTTTCTTTTTTACACACAAAAGGTGAAAATGAGGGTTTTATACTGCGCAATCAACAAAAAGTTATACAAAAGTCTAAAGCGCTAAGTGTAACACTTTAATGCAATAATAATAATAAAAAACCCTATAGCTATTATGAATCTTGTAATGATCCCGTTTAATCTCCCAAGCGAAACTTCAACAGGGCTATATACATTTTAATTTGGACAAGTTCTTTGAGGTAACATTTCCTTGTTTCCCAAAAGGAACCATGGAATTTTCAGTATCAAGTGCTCAGTGCCTCATATTTAAATCTCAGTGGGAAGATGGTATTTCCAGTAGCCCACTGTATTTATTAGTGTGCTGCCAAGAACTGATTTATTGCTGAGTCAGCATAAAATATCCTGGGGGATAATTAAGAAAAATCAAGGTTTCTGTTTAGGAAAAAGAGAAAAGTCCTTTACTACAGACTATGGGCCAAAGAGTGTATAGAACCTGTAATACAAAGCTCTACTTTAGTTCTGTCAATACCACACAACAAACTCGTGAAAATTAATTTTAATCGGTCCATTAATTGTACAATGAAGGTGATATATCTGCATAAAGCTCCTTATGATGATGAAAAAAACAATGTAGATTTTCTGTGTTTAAAAGTTCACTGGCCATTGTCTCCAAACAACAGAGATTAATATTTTTTTACCACATTATTTATAACCAGCGTTTGTTTGGAATTAAATGGTGGGGCATAATTCTGATGTGGAGTTCAGTGGCCAGAGTAATTCTACGTGCAGATAGTTTTCTATATAATGGAAAAAATGTTTTCCTAGGAGTCATACAAGCATTCTACCTAAAATGTATTAAACTTTTGTATTGGGGAGGGGGGGAGAATGAACCCCAAGTAATTTCTAGCTAATTTCTCTTCTAAAGTACAAGAGCAAAATAAAATTACTGTTTTGACCTTCCATGTTTGCAGGTGGAGAGCCATCAAAATGAGCACAGAGAGGGGACTTGACTATCAATGTTCAATCTTTTATCTTAAATAAATACTAAGCAAATTCTTCATTCTACTGAACAATGGGAGAGGAATAGCTCACAAATTGTTCAGGCTTGCAAATCATTCTTTTACACTGCCTACAGATACTCCTGCAGTGAATTCATTTATATACGGATCTTGGTTAAAGTGCATTATTGTGGACTTCAAAAGGATCCATAACCAAAACAGTGTCAATTCACACAGTATATGTATCACCTATTCAAAAAGCTTCTTCTTGCATGGTCATTTCCATGGACTTTTTCATGTCTGTGTAAGATGATTGGTGATAATGAGATGATGATGATGATTTCTGTCTGACTCTATTGATTTTTAATGAATTTGTTATGACATTCTGAATACGGTAATCTTTAGGAACAATTTTTTAGGATCTCCGAAAGTGCACAGTAAGAAGGATGAGATGGGAAATCCTCCATAGAACATAAAACCGTGAACCGACATACTGATTTCACAATTTAATTGAAACAGTTGTCTAAAAAGGAATATAATGTGCTATTCGTTGATTTTTTTTTCCTGAAGCAATATGGCTACAGGAAAACTAACCAAAGGACATGTGATACTAGCCTACCTCGTTTTAAATAACAGAAAAAGTTGTACCAGTTATCATAACCTTTATTAAAAAACAGCTGAGTATTACCAGGTATTACATAGCAAGCAGGTTTTACAACCCACAAACATTCACATGGCATATTAATTTTAAAATCAAGATGCTATCCAGACTAAAGACCGTTCAAAGAATGCCAGCGGAGAATGAAATAGAGCCAAGGCTAAAGAATTTTAATTTTAAGCATTAAGAAGCCACTTTAAATTGAAATGCAGGATGTAGGTTAATAACATTTAAAACATACATACGGCTGCCAATTTTACAGTAGAAACATAACAAACTATTCAGGAGAAACCAAACGAATAAGAGAGAGAAAAATCTATTTCCAGAGTGATTTTCGTCCTGTCCTTTTGCCTTCTTACCTTCTAATTATACATTGGTTAAGAATATATAAACTTCTTGTGGCAATAGTAAGCATGGTCATAACACAAGTGATTCCTAATGAATTTGCCAACTGAAGAAAATGCCCATTGGCAAAACCAACTTCCAAATATAATCACTTGCCAAATATATACAATAATATAGTAGTTTCACTTTCCAAAAAAAATACCAACGGAATTCCTGTGAGCATGGGAACTTGTAACAGAAAGAAAGAAATATTTAAGTAGAGAAAAAGGAATCATGATTTCCAATTGTTTCCAGCGCAAACATTTGTTTATATGTAATCATGAAAATATATAAATAGAAATGGAGAAAAAGATAAAAGAAAAAGTGCAAAAACAATACAGATGGAAAAAAGAAAAATACTTCCAATTTTTATAGTAGTTACAAGCAAATTTATTAGCTCTCCTCCATATTTAAGATTATATTACATGGTTCCCTTCTTCCCGTTTTAATGAGAAAATTTATAAATCACCAATTCATTTTTTCTATTTTTAGCAAAAAAAATATCCAAGAGGGTTCACTCTTTTATAAGACTACTCTCCAAATATTTATGTAATGTGTATACGAGTGCATGCACTTATGTGTTTAAATAAGAGAGAGAAAAAGAACAAATCTTTAATAAAAAGGTATCATGTTAAGAGTTGATCCTGTTACTAATTTGCAAGAAAGTTGAAGACCAGATAGATATATAGGCAGACAGATTTTTGTCCAGATAAAGTTGTGTCCATGTAAGAAAGCAAAAAATAAAAACAAAATCTCCAAGCTAGCTAGTTCATATAAAATTATATCATAAAGGGAAAAATAAGGTAATGCAGAAATTAAAACCATGCACAATCTTGTTGCTGAGTTGTTGCTGCTGAATACTACATTACTTGTAAAGAAAAAAGAAGATATATCCAAATTAATATTTATCTTTTGGGCTTTCAGGAAACTTCTGAATATTAGTAGGATATAAGTTAATCTCAGAGTTAATATGTATATGAAGACTATACATTATTAAATTAAATACTAAATATGAGCCAACATTATGTAGCAGCAGCCAAAAAAGCCAATGCAATCCTCGGATACATTAATAGACAGATAGAATTAAGATAACATGAAGTATGTGATCATATTAAGGCTTTATAGAGCGGTACTAATGAAGTATTAGTACCACTCTATAAAGCCTTAATATGACCGCACCTAGAATACTGCCTCCAGTTTTGGTCA